CCAATATATATTTTATAATATACCATATTTTGAAATTTTGGAAGTGGTGAAAGGTCTTGTAACTTGACATTAAGCACAAAACGATACTGTATAAAACATGAATACTGAAATGCAGCGTAAAATTGAGTCATTGTTCAGTTTAGAGGTCAATTCAGACGTGTGAATAAATTCATTCTTAGCGGGTGAATGAATTCATTCATGGGAACAATGAAAGTATTCATGAATATTAAATATGCCGCAAAATATTCAACAATAATACGGACGAGAACTATGTTTAAACATAAATTATATTTAAAAATATATAGAGATGAGAATAACTAAAGATATCAGAAGCTTTAAAATATCACGAACACTTACATTTGGAGATTTTTCGGCAGCAACATTACCGAAGTCAATACTTCGTCGCCGTGAAGTCCCAGCTGTGCGCACTTTAGCTGAGGGGATAACAGAAGGAGAAACTTCCACACATCGTTTTGCTCGAACATTCTCCTGTAGTTTCTGTTGAGTCTCAATGATGATATCCCTTAACTTTATCGCATTGTTCAGCCTTCTTTCACAGGCAGAACAAATTTGACGAGGAAGGTCGTTTCCATGTGGCAATTCACTACCATATACTGTCTCCGCATTGCGCAAAGTTATCAGATTCTGACTTCGAAACAAATTTTTACTGTGCTTCGGGTCAGTAACACAATAACAAAGTCTGCAACGTGAAATATTTGCCTCGGTTTTTTTCGCGTAGAGCTTTTTCGGCGTGTCTTTGCTTGCCATCGCTCGATTGAATGAATAGGTATTTGAAATTTGATAATATCTCCATACCTAAAATGTAATTTAATACTTCCCATGTTCCAGGACAGGATATTATAACTGTAATCCTGTTTCTGAAAAAACGTTCATATATTCGAGCCTATATGTATGGTTTTATGATCGAAATGAACGCGAGTACAACACAAAAAAATGAAAATTTCTGAACGCCTTAACAACGCGAGCCTCTAGCACCCCTCCCTAAGCGCAATTTCAATTTTCCCCCAGAATCTGGGGGTTCACGTGACCAGCCGCAGCCAGGGTCTTTACTCCCCACCACCACGAGTAAAGACCCTGGGTACGAGGTTGGTAAAGTTAATGCATAGGTTACAGTGATAGTGTATTCCGGACATCGTCGAAGCTATAGGAGTAATATTGGAGACGTATTTCAGTTCATGTACTACTCTACTTCAACTAACTGTGGGACTTGTTGACCTTAGATGTTCCCACATATATCTGCAGTAAGAACTTTGGGTGCAAAACACTGAGCTATATTATAATTCCTGGAGGACTGGTTCGTCATTTTTCGGTAACTTCGCCGCCATCTTTTCGAAGCAAAAAACATGGCGGACTTCACCTTTTGCGCAGTGCGCAGTGTTCCTCTGTGCTCATACCGTGTACTTGGTCGAGATGATTTGCTAACCTTGCTAAATTTATACTACCACAGCCAAATACAGGACAGTTCCTACGCGTGCGACGCATATTAAGATGATTGCTCAACAAACTCCTAATAATAATTGGCTCATTTTTTCGTGGGTCAGGTATTTTATTAGCCCCGTATTAGCCCCGAAAAGTCCGGGCTTGTCAACGCAAACTCTTGCTTAAGGAAGACAAAGTCAAACGATCTAAACAAGAAAACAGTGTAGTGCCCGGACAATATGTTTAAAATATTTGTAAAATTGTTCTACTTTATTATTGTTACAAGCGTTAATCCGTGTCTTAATTTATGCTCCAAGCATCGCGTTGTCCATAACACCAATATATATTTCCCTCTAAAAATGCATGCATTTTTGCATTCGCCATACCCCCTTTTTCCTCCCTTTGAGGAGCTTGGGCCTGAAATATCTCATTGAGCAGATGAGCATCTTTTCATGAACATTTATGAGCATATGCTCATAGGCCCGTTTGGGCCCTATGTGGCCTTATATGGCACTATTAGGCCCGATGGCCCGATTGCTGACTGCGCGTCCTAACCCGCGATTATGGAAAAATATTCCATTAAATATCTATGAGAGCAAGTAAAACAGGAAATCCAGGGAGAACAAGCCAACAGTGTACTAGCCAGTGTACTAGCTCGTTTTTACTCAAACAAGCCACCTATGCGAAACAAGAAATACGGTTACCATATGAACGTCAAAGAATCGCGCGAGTATAGGCGAACATTTGTGTTAAATAACTGTTGACATCACATATGTAAAGACTACATTAACATATGTGACCTTCCACGGGAAAACATACGTTTACGCTATTTCGTTCGTTCAAAAATATCGTTCGTTATCCGTTCGTTTGCCGTTCAAACGCTTCAAGCGTTCGTTGAAACGATTTTCGAGATCGTTCATCGTTCGAAATTGCCCGTTCGAACGCTTAGGAAAAATCGTTCGAAAATTGGTCCAAAAGCGTTCAACGGTTTGATTTACCGTTCGTTGAAACGTTTGCCGGAATTTCGTTCAATCGCATTGGATTTGATTCAACATTCGATTAAACATTTGCAATGTTACAACTTTAGAGAAGAAGCGCAGAATGTGTTACACAGAAATACTCCCAGAAATGTATTCAGTTCCTTAGTAGAAGGCTTGTAAAGGAAATAGTAGGGTTATATCATTTTAGCCTAATCAAATGCTTTTTTGCGCTTCATGTTCTGGTTTATGCTTAGCGTGCTCTTATTTCATTAGCGACAAATTTCACGTTATAAGCTTTCTTTTAAAAATTTATCGTTTTTGTGCTTCGGTAATGCACTGAATGGTTAGAATTTGTGTTTTAATATACTTCTGTAGCTTCCATAAAGCCAAAGTTCACCGCGCGCACAAACAACGTCGCAAGCCATATATTACAGCATTACGAGCCATAATATGCCTTGGCAAGGTGCTAATTAAAAGTTGCATAATTGTCGGAAGTCTGTAATGTATGTAAACAGACAAAACCAGATTTTAAAATCAGTAAATTGAGGGATTTTGCGTGTTACATATTATCGCACTTGTAAATTTATTTACAAAGTGCGATAAATTTAAGCTAATTTATTTACATCTGATAATCTGATAGCAGGGCCTCCGTCCGAAGCAGCTACTGATTAAAATGTATTCAAAATAAAGGACCGCATCCTAGGACGAGAATGCGGTTCAGCATTTCAGCTCGTTGTCTTTAATGCAGTCTGACATGCAAATTATATACAACAATTGAAATACCCTAGCTAATATTTGAAGACATAAATACAGTGACCTAACGCGCGTTCGGTAGGGTTAGGACGAGAACTAAAATAAGGTTCCCCAGTTATTGGGGGCCAGAATAGATAACGAAACATCATAGTATATGAGCAAAACGTGATCAATGACAAACAGCGAATTAAGGGACCCGGCAGTACCAAGTATATCTCAAGACCCCATCCTCTGTTCGTTATGCCACTGCATGAATATCCAAGCAATTTAAATATGACGCGTGCATCTAGTCTAAAACTGGAGCAGTGCCCCGCTTGCAAAATTGTCTTATTTCCTTAAAAGGGTATATTTGTCTCACCAGATCTAAGCCATCTGGCTCGATTGTTGCTGGCATGTTGAAAGGTATCAATTGGCATAAATATAACTTATGGCATAAATATAACTCATGCATTGTAAATGTTTATTTAGACTCTTAATTCACAAAAAAATTACTTCATATATGTTGATATATATATGCACATTTCAGCACAATTCACTCCCCATGCATGTAGCTATATTTTGGTTGTGATTTGATTTCTCTCGACTAGCTCCTCGAATCGGAAACGTGGAACGCGGAAAAGTCTCAAATCGTACAAATCATAGAGACTGTATGAAAGTAATGAAGCTATATCAATGATGTTCATTGTGTGACATTGTTTATTACCATAAAAAAACAAGAGTGTCGTACAATGAACATCATAATATTGCTCAGGGAAATTTAGCCTATAGGCTTTGATAATGCACAAAATATCATCTGGTCAACATAATTAGAGCTGTGGCCCGTGTGAAAAATATAACAAAACAGAAATTATGATCTATATTATACCATTTAAGTTTTGTTGATATTAAACTACCATAAACCATCAAAGACGCCGTCTACAAATTCCGTGTTTTGTGAGATTGAGTTTAGCGCTATGTTTTAACCAAGTGCGTGCAGCCTTGCGCACAACTGGCCCAAGCCCAAGGACAAGTTGCCAAGCTAACGTGTACAAACATTTAAGTTTGACCTTTCGGATATTTCGCTTATATATATTTCGCCATACTTCATCAGAAAACGAACATTAGAATTTGCTTGGACAACATATCAGCTGCTTGGGCAACAGGAAAATATTCACTAATTTTGATTTGGGCTCCTTTATTAGGAAATTACATTCCGGATATTAAATTGCAATTATGCATGGTCATTGCACCTTGAAGCCTGCCAGCTAGAGCGGCAAAATGAACAAATTTGAAATGGCGCCTATCAACTGTATATGAGCGCGCGGGTAAAGATCTTTACCAGTAATTTCGCGAAGACTAAACCAAATATTTGCTGGATATTAACATCTATATGGAGAAGTCAAGGCGTTTTACCCATATAAAGGTATGAGACTATACGAAACATTAGCTATGTCATGACTGGGCATACTTTATTAGGCGCGCTTGCAATTATTATTTCCCTCCCAGCATTGAAATCAGGCTTATCGATGAAATCATCAACAGAATTCGTATTACGGTTGGCTCGATTTAAAGTTTTTTTTCCTTGAGTGTGTTTGCCTGGCTTAACTGTAGCTCTCTATTGATCCATGCATATATCGAAATATGACACGCATTCGAAGTAAGATTTCATATAGATGATCATGCAATTGTATATAACAAGACGTTCTCAATTGCATTTTATGTATATATGCTAACGCGAGTAAAATGGAGTCGGATATAAATGCGCACTGCAATATAATCCTTTAGATTACTTGCCATGGCCGGTGGAATCGAGTTGGGCCACGATCATCCAATCATTCCGAATAAACATGACATGAAAGGTTGCCAGACCTTTAAAATGGCTTGGCTGAGGTTAGAGTAGTTGTTAGCTTGGTGGTTAAATTTAATAGGATGCATTTACTCACATTGAAACAACAATTGTGTGCAAACTTTTCTGACATTTGTCAAAAAATATGTGGGTAGATGCTACCTTGAAATATATATAATTATATGATATAAAAAGTTTTCGCAAGACAAAATGGATTGATGCTTTGATGCATGCCTTAATCATCTGTCTGGGGAAATCTTGATTAGTTAATTTTATTGTAAGCAGGCGGCACAAATTGTGTCACAAGTAGATGTCTCGAAGATGTTAAGGATCGGGTGTTTCTTAAAAAGGTGACTCCCTGTGCATGCATTTGGCATTGTCGTTTCTATATGGGCGGCAGCATTGCTATAAGCTTTGCAGAAAAAAATTATTTGCACTCTTTGTGATTTAAAAACTCGGTTTCTATATGGGCCGTGTGCTATTGCTATATGCTTTAGTAAAAATAATGTGCACTTTGCCGGGGTTGAGTAGTTGCTTTGCAGGGCGGATTTTCGGACCTTTAGGATTGCGGATTGCCGCGGTCGTTTGAAATGAAGATTTCGAAAATTATCCCACTAATTTATGCGTTCTATTTCTTTAGGTCACTATTGTTAGGCTCATGCAGTTAGCTTAGGCATTTTACACAGTTAACTATGTAGATGGTCGAATATATGGGGGGAATGAATATAGTGACCACCAATAATTTAGTTAGATCACAAGTATTAATTAGCGACTTGTTATACTGGTTAAAAATCACACATGCATATGTGATCGGTCACAAAATATGTAACTAATATGAAAAAAATATGGCGGCAGAAATAGCGACATTGCAGCTTTAGCTTTGCGAAGAAAATATAGCGATGGTGCATGCAATCGACAAAATAGATTAGTCAAATTTAAAATATTCTTAAGGTAATGATGCCCTTAGTTGCTAGTGACTTGCTACTGACAGTACTGTGTAGGCGACATTCCGCGACAAGCTTGACCGCGGCTAAAGCTAGGCTACTGGTGTTGCTGCACGGAACATATTGTGCACTAGGTAAATATCCAAGCCTATATTTAAATATTTTATTACCGCAATGCATTGCTGAAATTGAAATGTGGATTTCATGTGTATAAATGGTGTGGATATTTAATGTAGTATTTATACCAAATAAGTTTGACAGCATGCAAGCACACGTTACTACGCTGGTTCGCATACAAACGAACTTTGCGTATGCGATATTCTGTATTAATGTTTGGTTATCATCGGTAAACAACTTGATCCTTGCGCTAATTAATTTAATCGTTTGCGCGTCAAAGAGTATAAACAAAAGTGTACAATGGAATCTCTTGTGTTTAGTTTAACATAAAGTATGTATCCAGTAGCTGAAACTCAACCAAACTGAGACGGCAATTTTGTTTACTGTCGGTTTACAGCCGTGTTAATAAAACGGATGCATGCTGTATGTGATATGTCTTTAACCACTCATACATAGAGTTTGTTCGTGGAAAAATTTACAAAACCTGTAACGATGTTGCAAATGAACACGCGCTGAATATTTTGATGGGTATAGTTGCAGATGATGCATTAATTGACATAACGATGATAATATAATAATAAGGCTTCTAACGATTAACCCGAATTTTGATGCAAAACGCCAATGTATATATATAAAGTATAAAATAATGGGATTAGGTAGTATAGCTAATAATTTTAGTTAAACATTCAAATGAAGGTATAGCTATTTATGTACACACATACTTGGAACAACACATGTTACTTGTTTGAAAAATTTCCTATCTTTTAATTAGATAAATTAGTCAATAATATCTTGCGTCAATTATACGCGCAACAGGCGTTCAGACAAATTCGTTAAAACCGTTCATAAACATAAATCGTTCAAACGGCTTCAGATTGAACGTTTATTATCCGTTCGTATCTCGACTTTAAACGTTCACATTTTTAGCTGAATTCGTCAAAACGTTTCTGGGTTCGTTGAAACGTTATTACAGATCGTTCACTACCCGTTCGTTATCCGTTCGTTTTGCCGTTTCAACGAAATATCGTTAACCGTAAGGTCACATATCGTATGGGCGTTATATTCGTATACATATAATAAAAAGATGTGTACGTATACGACGTATAGATTTGCAGTGTTGCAGAGGAATGTTCTAAGGGAACATTTCCCCAATGTTTAATCGAATATTTGTCCATATTCGGGTAAGATGCCCATGCAGTCAGCAATCGGCCATCGTGCCTAATAGGGTCATATAAGGCCATATAAGTCCCAAACGGGCCTATGAGCACATCATGGATGCTCATCCGCTCAATGAGATATTTCAGGCCCAAACTCCTCAAAGGGAGGAAAAAGGGGGTATTGCGAATGCGAAAATGTGTGCATTTTAGAGCGAATCGAAATATATATGTGTTATGGACAACGCGATGCTTGAAGCATAAATTAAGACACGTATTAACGCTTGTAACAATGTAATTAAGTAGAAAATTTTACAAATATTTAAACATATTGTCCGGGCACTACACTGTTTCTTGTTTAGATCGTTTGACTTTTTCTTCCGTAAGCAAGAGTTTGCATTGAAAAGCCCGGACTTGTCCGGGTTAGGACGCCTAGTCATGCAGCAATCGGGCCATCGGGCCTAATAGTGCCATATAAGGCCATATAGGGCCCAAACGGGCCTAATAAAATACCTGACTTACGAAAAAAATGAGCCAATTATTATTAGGAATTTGTTGAGCAATCATCTAAATATGCGTCGCACTCGTAGGAGCTGTCCTGTGTTAGCTGTGGTAGTACAAATTAGCAAGGTTAGCAAATCATCTCGACCAAGTACACGATATGGGCACAGAGGAACGCAAGAGATGGTTAAAGTGGAGTAAGAAAGGAATATGTGTACGACAGAGTAAGAACCAAAGGAATTCGATATGGAGGAGTGTCTGGAAAGAGCGCGATGGAGAGAAATTTATTAGAAGAGATGTTTACCTAAGCACTGCAAACGAACAACCTCTATCTAGGGGAAACGAAGAAAGTACATAAGGGATTGCTAACATTTAGTTGTGTGAATGTACTGGACTAGGAAAAAGTACCGTTGAGCAGATTAGCACATCCTCATAACTACACATGAGCAGACATCTGCTCACAAAACTGCGTTGCTGCTCGATAACAAGGCATTACACACTCTAGTGCTAAGGGATGAGCTGCCAATTTTGCAGAAGATATTTCAGCCGCAGTTACAATCAGCGCAGACCCGAACGGGAGTATTGCCTACTACGAGAACAAGAAAGAAACATGTCTCAAACAGACTCGGACAGTCAAGAAAGTGATTTCCAAGATGAGTCTCGACCACTTCCACTCAGCAATCTGGAAGTTCGACGACAACGGACTCAGAATGTGAAGAAGAATTGGATCCCTGGATGCCGTTAATAGAAGAAGCATAACATAGAAGTAACACAGTATTCGAGGAAATGAAAGAAAGCCTTATAAACAGTGGTTTGATGAGCACTATGCTAAAAAGAAAGCTTACTTCAATGCCATGCTAGACTCCAGGAAGAATTAGAAAATATCTATTTAAAGCGCCATTTGTGGAAGACAACTGAAGAAAGATCCGGTACATAAGAAAATATGTTTATTACAAATGAATTTGACCAAGAAGCAATAGAAGGTGCCGTTGATAAGCGAAAGTTCTTATTAAGAAGTTTTAAACGATGTGAACATGTGAAGGAAAACAAAGGCAGAGATGATGATGACGACGACGATGAATGTTCTAAGTATCCTGAACCAGCTTGGTCATACCAAAATGACCCACTCGTGTCAGGTTTATTGTCCCTTACCAAGCCGTCTACCCTTAAGTACACGGTTAAAACGGAGCTGTTGGAAGAACGCGATTGTATATCAAGAATCAAATAGGTTAAAAGGTCTTAATTCGAGTGGTATATACACACTTCAAATTCAAGCCAGGAACAGTGGATGGAAAAATGAGTCAAATATACGTTCTCAATGGCAAGGGCATTCACCGGCATCGCAAAAGCGTAGGTTCGATTCTTGCCATGATCTGTTCAAAAACAACACACGAGTCAGAACGCGAGTGAACACGAATGAACACCAGTGGACACGAGTCAGAATACGACTCAAGAAATATGAACGCTTGTGAACACCAGTTAAAAAACATCAACACGAATGAACACGAGTGAACACGGGTCAAAAATCATGAACACGAACCAAAGATCACGAACACGAGTGAACACGAATAAAAAAATGAACACGAATGAACACGAGTCAAAAAATCATGAACACGAACCAAAGATCACGAACACGAGTGAACAGGAATCAAAAAATTATGAACACGAACGAAAGCTCACGAACAGAAGTGGAAATCGCATGAAAACGTGGAAATCGCAAGAAACATGCCAGCCCCATCAACTCTAGGCTGGTTCCACGAGGGCGTGTTAATTATAAGACAGTAATAAGAATACAGTATAGGTTCACACACAGGTAACTAGGACGCATTCAGTGTGCAACAACAATGATTTAAACTAACGAGCGACTCAGCTGATTTGCTTCGTTTGTGAGCCGATTCCAAAGCATAGCGCGGCTATATTGAAACTTTTTTAAGGTATTCTCGATTCGGCCTTGGAATCCTATTCTCTTCTCACGAAAGACTCCCGAAGAGCGGGCGCAGTATGGTATTAAGTATCTTGTACATTAATACTGACTTAGCACCAGACCGTCTAGTTCAAGAGGTTCATAATGCACTGTTAAAACCCTCGCGCACGAAACTGAACTCTTGCAACTAAATTGAAATCTCTGAGCAGATTGCCACAAGTATCCCACAGGGGCGAGCAGTAATCGAAGTAGGGCTGCACAAGACTTTTCCGGGGAACAGGGAACAGTGGAATGGGAGAACCGGGAGACAGGGGAATTCCCCTCAGGATCTCACCAAATCCTTTTTAGCAATGTTTTATTAAATTGAGTGAAATATCGCGAAACATTACCTAATAATGACACGTTGTTATGTAAATTGTAATGGAGAATTAGATTCACATGCACACGCCTTAATTTGGACAGTTATCCAATAGGTTATTTCAAGGTTAATTTTTATAATACTTATACAATTACTCGATGAGGCTAGCATAATACGTAACAATTATTGAATGGAGTTGAACACAATATGAAAATATATCAGCCGGTGAGCTAGTGTACTTCAAGTGACAAGGTATTATACTACTAACTAATTGGTCATGGTAAGGGTCAGCAAGAATCAATCATCAGTAATCAAGATGACAATCCAAAACTAATATTAACTGCATGCGTAACTGTTTTAAGGCATCTGACTAGAAAAAAGCAGAAACAGGAGCACTTACATAACAAAAATGACCCGCTTTCTAGATGTCCAAAAGAAAAACTAATTTATCGGGAAACGACGAAAAGAAGAAAAAAGCGCGAGAGAACTAAACTGTGGATCTCACGGAGGACGATGAAATCTTTTTTCCAACAATAAAAAGAGGAAACAGCGAAGAAAATATCACATTTCCAGTGATCCCGAATCAGTCAACTCATGAGAACAGTGAAAATGATAACGTCTTACTCATTGACATTGATTTGCCTAATCTGTCCATTACAGGGGTGATAAAAGGCTTCCAATTACAGTCATTCCAGCCCTGACATAAAAAAATATTCCAGATCTGTTTAAAAAAGGATATTCCTGCAGACCGAAAGGCAGAAATCAAGCCAACAAGCATTCTACAACCTCAACCTTCGTTGTCGGCCAAAAACTGCAAAAGTAAAGCATCCGTTGATATCGAAACTTAGAAACACTTGGGTACTATGAGAAAAATAGCAAACTAGGTTTATGAAGTTAAGGTTACGGACAGAGGTCTCGGTGAACAAAGACGACAATGGCATATCGTTGGTGGTACCTGCGACGTCCGCGATGCTCGAAATTGGGTTCGGCAGATCGTAGGCAAGGAGCTCTTGTACGCTGTAGTTAGAAAAAGAGCAACGCATAAGAATACGATGAAAATGTATCAGACGGAATTACAAGATATGTCATATTTATTATGCTAATAGCAGATATAATGAATCTATAGCGTCTAAAGAATTTGAGGTCATATACTTAAATGTCCACGATTATCATGCATTACTATTAACACCGGGAATGCCGTCCTCGTAGTCGCAACAGCGCATGGAAAACAACACGTCCGCACGCCAAACCTTTATTCAAGAGAGCACTCTCTCAACAAGAAGTGAAAGAAACGGTTCATACAGTCGTGCCCCAAGGGTATTGAAGACGAAAAATCGAAGTTATCTGAATTAACTTGATTCTCCATTACAGTCAACCACTATTCGGGATACCAAGCAGCTGTATAATTACCGTTATTTGTATGGGGAAACAAAAACCAGATCTAGTATCGATCAAATTCAGGAAGTTATCCTTAAACTCCTTGAGCAAAGACCCACTGCTGACGAAATGGACCCAGATTTGCTTGACAAAATCAAGCATTCATCAGCAAATCCCAGGTTTACTACGCCTTTGGCTTGTGACACTACATTAAACATTGCAAATCATCTCGTGACACAAACGACCTACAAGCAGATGTCAGTAATTGGAAGAGAGAGTTTAAGGAATCCCTGGTTTCCAGGACCATTTCTGATCCATCGAAATCAATCAGCGCAGGATTTCGCATATTTTTGGCAAGCAGTGAAAAGAGGGAATCCGGCTCTTGCCAACATCCTTGCTTTTGGTACAGATGAAGACGAAGCACTTTCTAGCGGGATTCTTAAGGAAACGAGTGGAAAGACCATTTACCTTTTGGGCAAAGAGCATGCCAAGCAAATGTAGATAAAAAATTGCAGTCGTTAAATTTTCCTTCAATCCAAAAAAAAATTATCCTGAGTGATATTTTCGGTGGTGCCACGTGCAAAGAAGAAGATACGGAAGCGAAAGTACTCATATTTACAACCGTAAGCTATTGCAACTGAAATCAAAATGGCTTCAAATAGAAAAGGAACACACCAGCAATCGTCCCGCGAGTCAGTTCGTGGATTATTTTGAAACTCATAAAGAGAAGCAAATGAGGGACAAAATGATTAAAAACGTTCGAAAGCAAGCTTCCATTGACGGAGTGTGCGGCCAAAATCCAATTGAGTGGCAAAACGTCTTGTCAAAAGATGAAATATCCGCCCACGTGCATTCAGAGGGTCGTAGTCATCGAGACGCGACACTTTCAGAGTGCCTAGATGCCTTGAAAGCATGCAGTATCCGTTTATTTAGCAATGTTGTCAAAGCCATATATGATGACGGTCCTTACGTCCTAGCACCAGCTTACCACATGTTTCGTAAAACATATGCCGATTGGAAAGGCATGTCATCAGACGAACGAAAGATGCACATCGAGCATTCATGGCTTACATTCCTACCGACGATGTACTCTTGCGCTCCGGAGTTCGAAGTGCAGAAAACAAGGAATCCATTCCAACTATTTCCCTGTTAGATGACGAATCACCTGGTTTATCTACGTCAGCACCTAAACAAGATTATCTTCAAGTGTCACAACAAATCTCGAATTCTCCTCCACCAAATTTCTACCATCGGTCCAAGCCAGAGGTTAAAGGCCACGACGTTCTAGACAAACCACGACGCACGCTTTCGTATCGCTTCAAGAAGCTTCGGTTCTAAATGATGTTTTGCCTCCTCACCTTTTAGCAGATGCTTTTAATAAAGCCTTAATTTTTGGGTACAGTTAATAAGAAACGCGATACGACTTTAATTGTGACAAGTATACTCAGTTCAACACTTGGTTTATTATGGAATAAGGTCATAGCCTCGACGGCAGACAAACTGAAAGACGGCGAAATTCGTAAGATTGTCGTACGCGAGTTATAATGATATCAAGTCTAAAATCGATGGCCTTTCTAGATCAACTTCACTCGCCAGTTATAATTTTCTAGAAGAAGGAATAGAGTTACTCAGTGTTTCCTCGATAAATCAATCTTTAGCAGAAAGAGAGCGAAACTCAGGACGAACCAGGTGAACTTTCGAGCGTTATTCTGTCTGGTATCTTAAACCAAGCAATAGAGCTTCCTCCAGCCAGGAAAAAGCTTAAAATCAACTCGGACAGAGAGTTAGAAACTGCGAGAAAAAGATTCGAGGAAGCGCGCAAGGCAGCAACCACTGCTTTCTGGAATGAGGCATTTAGTATCGAAGATCGAATTTTTTGCGAAGCTACGAATAGTTTCAAAAATAGTGGAACATCTCGATTATCCTGAGACCGCAATCACCGAATGTTTATCGTTTTGGAAGAAGCTGCATAGCTTACAAGCCATTCAACTGATTCAAGAGATATTCTCAGTGTCTTTGAACGATGGAGTCAAATCGTTGTTGAATAAAACTCAACGGGTGGAGAACGTCTGTCGGCAACCTCGTTCCCAGGGCCTTGGTGGGGAGGGGGCGAGGTGGAGAGAAGGCCCTGGCAAAGGCTGAGCTAAAATGCTTTGTGATTGGTTGAAGCAATTTAACTCGTTTTGTTGTTAACGACGTTGTGATTGGCCAATAGTATAAAAACCCGCGAAATATTTTTCAATATGGCGAAGCTTAACAGTGAAAACATCTCGGCGCACACGCCAAAAAAAGTGTATGTATCAAGTGATTTTATCGATGGTTGTCGCCTTTGTGGAAACAAAAATGATAGGATGATTAATGTCTTTCATAAACCTGGCCAGAAGAAGAAACTCGTCGAAGTTATTGCTGATACGCTCGGCGTTTCGATATGCGAGAATGACCAAATGTCGCCACTCATTTGTCGATGTTGTGAACGGAAAATTACGAAATTCATTGAGTTTAAGAACGAAGTGCACAATTTCCAGGATTGCATACATTCACGATTTTCAGTTAAGAGGTGCATCATACCCACTGAAGAAACTAACAAGAAGCGCATAACGACGAACTCGACGACAACTATTGATACGCCATATGCTGCCAAACAACTAGGATTGTTACCGACGTGTCATACCGGTGGTCAGACCGATTGTAATACGAAAAGCCACGAAATGGTATACTTGGAGATTGACCCACTTTCACTTTGTAATAATAATACAAGTGTGAGTAACAATTAACTGCCTTTTTCGAATTCAGTATGTATTTATATTTATATTACTATAACGTTTGGGCTGATCAACGTTCTATTATAAATGACTATTAGATACGTGCATTTAATATGTGATGCGTTACATTAAATACATAGAAATATACATATTCATATCTAATTAAATAATTATCACATCATATCAATATAAGAGTTTTACACAGGCAGCCCCATGTGTTTAATGTTTCTAACATGTGTTATTATAAACTACTTTTAGACATCTGTCAGTGGAGTGCCCCTCAACGCACTTCAAATTGAGAAGTTACACCGAGCACTCAAATCTAGATTCCCTACCCACATTGGGCAATGTGCAATGTCTATTAAGGAAATTAAACAAGCATGTCAGGAAATATTGCTAAAAGAACTTGATGAACAATGTAAGGAACTTTGCTTAAAAAAAACCCTTCTGTGTTACGAAATAATGGTTTTGATGACATAGTTAAATTCGATTGGCTGAATATTGTATACGAACTGCAGAAGAGATGTCCATTTCTTTTGAGTGTTTTAAATACTGTCACAGCAAAAAAGAAAACACAGTCAGAGCTCGCACCTTGTATTGGTATGGCATATGCTATATTGATGATACAACGCAATCATGAGTTAAGTCTTGTTCAAAGGATCAATACCTTGATCATGGCAGAAGGAAATGCAAAAAAACAGGTAAAATATCTATTGTTGCAAGTGTTTAAATTGTCAGGTTCACATAAATTATTAAAATCTCTAGTACAATGATAGTGAATATCTAAATATCATAATACGTACAGTGAATGCAAATTTACAACACTACAACATTATCAAAATTTTAGTTATATACCAGATGCCAAAAGGTTGGATTTGCATTATCACATCAAAGCAAAGTCAATTTGCTAGATGAAATTGGAGGTCATTTTGCAGATGAAGCAATCACAATGGTAAAGAATGGTTGCAAGATGCAAGGGACAGGTGACAACTGGGATTTTCGAATATTATGTCATGATATGAGAAAGGATCATCAGAACAAAGATATGCATTATTTTGCATCAAATCTTCTTTTTGAACGAGTTCCTATACCAGACAATTTGTCCTTATCTCCTAAACATGATATTAAAACTTTGGAAAACAGTTCATTTTTATTAAGTGTTGCTGAAAGCAAAAAATTATTGGAAGATTATAAAGTTATTATAAGCAGGATATTGGTTCAATATCTGCCAGCTTTTGGTGCTTTCAAGACGATTGTTCCAACCCATATTGACCATGTATACCAGGATGAGATGTCAAAACAATCCGTAATTGTTCCATTACCTATACAAATGAAAATGAAAG